CTTACCTACATTGAAATTGGAAAAACCAAAGGATTGGATAGATGAAAGAACACCTGTTGTTAAATTTGGCAGAGTTAGATTGGGTAAGACTTTAACTATGCCAATTGTATTGAAGAATGATGGATAAATTCCAGCTACAGTAAAATGGGATTTAACAGCAGTTAATGAACATTTTAGATTTTTAGATTAAAACACTTTTACTCTAACTCCAAAAACTACTGCTACTTTTAATATTGAATTCACTCCAAAAGATGTTGGAGTTAAGTAACATTATTTTGTAATGTAAACATTATTAAATCCCTATGAAATTACTAAAGTGGCAGTGACAGGTGAAGCATTCTAAGAAGACATTGTATTTGAAAATTTAGATGATGAAGTTCAATTTGGTGATTGCATCATAAATATTGAAAAGAAAATATAATTTTATTTAAAAAATAATGGAACCAATACTATACGATTTTAATGGAATACTTAAGGATGTGAAGATTTTTCATTTATTCCTAGACAAGGTCATTTGAACACAAAAGAATAGAAACCAATTACATTAATATTTAAATCTAATAGAAGTATAATTCACAAATCTTTTGCTTTGTAATGTGACACTAAATAAATTAATAAGAAAATTTCATCAGAATGGGATGATAGCATGGCAACCACTAAGTATGTTACATTAACTGAATATAATTGGTTAATGAAGAAAAGAGAAGAAGAAGAGGCTAGAAGATTAGCTGAGGAAGCTGCAAATAAAAAAGGAGCTAAGAAAGTCGATAAGAAAGCTGCTAAGTAAGAAATAGTACAACCTCCATAACCTGAACCTGGAGAAGAAGCTAACATTCCAATATCAGATCCATTACCTGAACCAGAATATTAGGTGATTGATAAGAGTGATAAGAGTATGCCATTGAAGGTGAATGCAGTTGCTGATTTTGCTAAATATGAAATTGATTAGAGAAATATTTACTTCAAAGAAACTTTGATGTATACAACAAGGGTTCATTAATTAAAATTAAAAAATACTTCATTAATAGCCATAAATTATAATTGTAAGATATTATCAGCAGAGACAGGGGCTATAGATCCTGGTTATTTCTATGTGTATCCAAAGTAAGGAAAGATTGCTAGTAATAGTGATGAAGTTTTTACTATTAAATTTAGTCCTACAGAAATAGATGAATCGAATGAGAGGTTGTTGATTATTTATATTGATAATTTGGATCCAAATTAAGAGAAGTTGATAGTGGAATTAGATGGTTAAGCAGAGAGACCTATATGTCATTTTGAATTACCACCTAGTAATTATAGAGATAAGAAGCCAGATTTGGAAGTAAAATATAATGTAATAGAATTTGAGAGTTTAGGATGCAAAGTTAAAAATACTAAAAGATTTTATGTTGTGAATCCAACTTCAGTTGGTTATGAATATGAATGGAAAAGAATTGATGATGAAAAGAATCAAAATGCTAATTACTTTAAATGTATTACTAATAAGGGAGTAGTTTTGTCTGGTAAGAAATCTGAAATCATTTTCGAATATTCACCTGATACATAAGGATAACATGAAAGTTATTGGGTCTTTGAGATTCCTTAAGAGCACATTACTTAATATTTCCTTATAACTGGAAATGTGGTTGAACCTAATGTAATATTTAATGTTGGTAAAGTTAATTTCGGACCTTTATTGGTTCAAGGAAAGAATAAAGAAACAGTTATTCTTAAGAATTTAGAAGATGTTCCATTGACATTCTAATTTGATAGAGAATCTTTCCATAATCCAGATTATGGAGATTCACTTACAATAACTCCAGTATAAGGAACTATAAAAGCTCTTGGTGATTAACCTATAGAGATACAGTTTGCTCCAAAGGTAGAAAGAGAATATAATTATAATCTGTTATGTAATGTAAAGAGAAGATAGAGACCAGTAACTTTGAATGTTAAAGGAATAGGATATATTTTACATAATAATGTATATTTGAATGGTGTTGCTGTTACTCAATAAAATACAGGTGTAGAATTAGGAGATTTATATATAAATGAGAAATCTAGTAAATAGATCACAGTTGAGAATTAGGGAGACTTTAATTTTGATTTCAGTGTTAGGAAATCAGTTTAATTATCTAATATTGTAATTATCAATCCAGAGAATGGAACAGTAAAGAAGAATGAGAAATTTAATATAGAGATTAGATATTAGCCAACAGCTCCTTTGAAATTGAATTAATCATTTTCACTCTGCATTTCAAGTGGTCCTACATATAATTTCCAATTAATAGGATCTGCAAAAAAACCAGCTGTAGAATTTTCATTTTTATAATATGACTTTGGGCCATGTTTTGTTTTAAGACAGCCATTGCCAATAACTAAAAATTTGGAGTTAAGGAATAGAGATGTTTAAGCAATGGCAATAGAAGCTTTATATGAAAAGAAACCTTATTTTGGAGTTCAATTACCTTCAGGTTAAGTGTTGTTACCAATTCAAATAGAAACACATAAGGATAAGAAGGGAATAATATAAACTAAGGAGTTGAATGTTTTGTAAATTCCAATTACTTTTACTCCAAGAGAATTGATCAAATATGATGAAAGTGTGATATTTGATATAAATGGATTGTAAAAAGTAGAAGTGAGATTTACAGGAGAAGGTGTTCCTTTGAAATTAGATTTATTGAAAACAGAATATTAATTTGTAGATTTTGGAATATATGGTATAGGATAGATAGGAACTGAAGTTGTTTCTTTAGTTAATAATTCATAAAAAATGGTCACATTAATCTTTGAATAGGATTTGTTGAAGGAATTGAAATAAAAATATTATATTAAAGTAAGACCAAAGAAAGAGTTTGTAATTAATCCAAGAGAAAGAAAAGAAATTACATTGACTTTTAAACCTAAATAGAGATTACATTCTTTCAAGACTGATTTGTTTTTTAAGATAGTTGAAAATAATGAAGTGAGAAAACTATTAACCTTATCAGGAGCTTGTCATGGAATAGAATTGAAATTAATGGAGGATACAATAGGATTTGGTGGAGTTGTTATTAATTCAAGACTTACAAAAAATGTATAATTGAGTAATTTGGGAGATGTTGCTGCTAAATTTTAATGGGATACTTCATTTTGTAAAAACTATTTTACTATAACACCATTATCAGGAACATTACCAGCACATGAAGATTTATAATTTTAAATTACATTCCATCCAAATGCTATTGATAATGATATTAGATTTGATAAGGTGAAATGTTTAATCTAAAATTCAGATCCATTATATTTAAATCTTTTAGGCAAATGTATAGAATAACCAAAAGAATAAATCTAAGAAGTTAAATTTGAAACTGTTGTAAGAGTACCTACTTCTAAAAAAGTTGTTGTCAAAAATCCAACACCTAAACCATGGAAAGTCAAGGCTTCTGTATCAGCTTTATTACCTTAATTTAAAGATTATTTTGAAGGCAAAGAATATGTAGAAGTACCAGCTAATGGATAAGCAGAATATGAAGTCATTTACAAACCTTTAACTATGACATCTAATCCTTAAATACAAAATTTATAAGATTAACATGAAGGATCACTCTTTTTCCCATTACCTGATGGTTAGGCACTTCTCTATAATCTATTTGGTAAGAGTTTGCCACCATTACCATAAACTGTTGATACTACCATGAAAGCTAAAAAGAATACAACTTAAGTATTGTAAGTGAAAAACTGGTTGAAAACTAGTCAAAGATTTGAAGTTTCATGGACATTAGAACCTGAAGATCCTTCTATTATTCTTAATGGAGCCAATACTTTTGAAGTATCTAGTGAAGGTACTAAGGAATATAAACTTACTATTTATGGACTTAAATAATCACAAAATAAAGTGACAGTCTATTTTAGAAATGCCATCACATAAGAATTTGTATTCTTTAAAATAGTATATATTAATATTTATATTTTTAGAATTTAATTATACAACCACCAGATCAATTACCAAAAATTGAATTAGCATCTATAGTTAGGGAAGTTGCTACAAAGTTGATTACTATTGAAAATCCAATTAATTAACCTGTTGAATTTAAAAAAGACTAACTTATAGCTGAAACTGATAGCATATCATTCAATCCTTAATAATTTGTAATCCCACCTAAATCTGAATTTGGACTTGAAATATCATATAGACCTTTAGTAGTGTAAGACATTCAATCAAAAATTATTATAAAATCCATATAATTAGGAGAGTTTGTCTATCCTCTAAAATTATAAGGATTACAGTAGAATGTGTCAAGATCACTCTATTTCAAAGCTTCCTTAGGTACTGAAATGGTTTTGCCATTCAAATTTATGAACTTTACCAAGAAACCTACAACTTACACATGTTATGCTACTAAATTGGGTCCAAATGGGAAACCATTACAAGTGAATATAGATCCAAAGGCTAAAGGTGCACCTGCATAAACAACTGATTTTATTTGTGAATAAGTCTAATTCTAAGCACCTTAATCTGAATCGTTTGATGGAGTTGAATGTTAGATAAGTGTAAAGTATGAACCTAGTAGTTTAAATGAGAGTAGAGGCATTTTAGTTGTAACATCACCTGATGGTGGAGGTATATATAAGTTTAAATAATAAAGAATATCAATGTCTCTTGATTGGATAGGGAATTACTCCATAACCAAAAGGTCCTTATAAATTATCAGGTGCAAAGCCTCCCGCAATAGAATTTAAGAATCCCTTTTTTGAGGCATAAGAATTTACATTAAGAATTGATAATCCTGCATTTACTTCGTCTGTTAAGTCCCCTATTAAAGTTGATGTAAGATATCTTATATAATTTTAGGGTAAAAAAGTATTGAGCATAAATATCACTTATAAAGCAGTACCAAATACAAGCAACAATGGAAGATTAATAATTTCCTGTGGTGATTTACCATAATGGGTATTCTATCTTTAAGGAGAATGAATAATATTATTAATATTTTAATATATTTTTGAATCATTATTAATTGAATATCATGAATTCATTAAATCATAATCAATAGCATCATAATCAATTCAAGATTTTAGGTAAAATCATCTACAGTACTTGTTGGAGTTGATGTATTAGAAGTGGAATTGGTTTTATTTGTAGTCTAATTAGAAGTTGTATCTTTTTAGCCATTGCAAGATTGACATCTATTTTTACTAGCATTCCAGGTATAAGTATAATCAGATACAGTAAAACATTTTGATTAATCAAGAGTGTTTAAATCAATTTCTATACACTTACCATCTAATAATTAACAACCCCTTTTAGAAGATAAATTCCAATCATAAAAAGAATCACATTTACCATTTGTCTTTTAATATGATTCACAAGTATGAGCATAACATGAACTAGTAGATAGACCAGTTGCATATTTAAAAGCACAACGATCTTTAGCTGATAAACAAGCTTCTTAATCTTAATCAGCTTAAGTACATGATTACATTAGGGAACAAGATTATCCATTCCATACACATATACCATCAGTTCCACCAATACTACAAGCAATTTTAGTAATATATGATGAACACATATCTTTATTGATACAATTTGATCCATCTGTAATACATGATGGTAATGATTATTAACATAATTATAATGTACTTCCATTTATAATACTACTACACATGAACATTTAACAAATTCCTAAAGTAGTATTCCAATTACATTTTCCTTCTAATCCATAGGCAACAGAGCAAATGTTTTAAAGTTTATATTCATTACAACTCAATTTAATAATACAAGTTGTTCCATCATAAGTACAAGTTGATAATTAAAGAGTGCATTGTTCATGAGATGAACCTAATAAATCTACACAATTTTAATTTTGACATTATCCACTTTCATTCCAAACACAAATTCCAGTTGATATGATTAAATCATTTTTTAATTAAACTCCAATAGAATCTATTTTACATGATGCTTAATTAACATATTAATTGCATTCACTAAGATTGATACATCCATTTAATCCATCTGTTGTACAACTTTTATTAGCAATTTAACAATCTTAATGTGTAAGATAATAAGCATCAGTACAAGATGAAAATAATTTACAAATTGGTGGTTGACTTGAATTTAAAGTAGGAACAGTTTTGATACAATCTCCATCAATTCCACTTACACAACCACCATTTGTATTTGTTTCAGTACATAATGTAATAGGAATACAACTTTATCCATCAGTTGTACATAAAGGTGATATTTATTTACATTCTTAATCAGTTTTAAATTATATTGATTTACATGAAGTGAATTAATAACATTAAGATAATTTATCAATCCATTTACATGGACCATCTAATCCTTATATGCATGATAATTATGTAGTGAATTCATTACAACTTTTTATTTTCATACATTTTGAATTTTCTCCAATAGTACATGAAATGTTAGATTTCTAACAATCTAAATGAGTAGTACCATTATAATCTTAACATTCACCAATGTTTCTACATTTACCTTAATCCCAAATGCATTTAATATTATTATAACTTGAATTACAATCTATTTCTTTGTTAATTATTTAACACTCTTTCAATGTACATTTAGTACCTATCCAATAACATTATTCATCTTTGATTGATTTTGTACATCCTATTTCACTTATATATGTTGAACATGATCCTCTTTTTATACATTTAATACCATCAGTAGTACAAGTAGACATTGCTGTTTTACATTAAGAATCTGTTGTAAATTCATATTCTTCACATGTATGTCTTTTACATTTATTAGTATCTTCTGCAGTACAAGTAGGTAGCCAACTAGAACATAATTAAGCAGTATTTTAATCTGGTGGAGCAGCAGAACAAGTTTTGATTTCACATTTTGAATTATACCAGAAACAATCATTACCACTTGCATCACGAATGCATGAAATTTCATTAGAGATTTCTGTGCATTTATTAGGCATTGCAATACAACCTAATAGATCTGATGAAACAGTGCAATTATTTAAATAATTTTAACAATCTTAATGAGTTGAATAATCTATAGTTTTAGGAGCAGTATTACAATTCATTTCAATACATGTAGATTCAAACCAAGCACATTTTTTATTATCTTTAGTTGTAATACATTGTTATTCAAATTTATAATCAGTACAATTATTACTCTTATCTTGACAACCTTAAATAATTTATTATTATTAATCATCTAATTTAATAGAGACAGTACAATTAATATCAAAATTTTAACATTATAAATGTGAATTAAAGGAAAGTGATGCAACATTACATGATATATATTGACATTTATTAGTAGTTGTATTCCAGTAACAATTTTTATTGTTATTATCAACTAAACATTATGATGTAGTTGTGTATTAATCACATGATTTTAATAATGGACAATCTGGTTCAATTATTCCAATTTTTTCTATTTCTTAACAATTAAAATCAATACAATTAAGAGTAGATGGATTCCACCAACATCTTTTATTAACATAATTGTATTTACATTAAATTTATGTTAAATAACTATTACAATTTTATAATTTAGTGATACAACCACCTTTATTGGCAACAGTACATTTATTACTTATATTTTAACATTAATTATGAGTTGTTAAATTATTAGATAAAAGATGACAAGCAATTTTTATACATTTATTATCTACTACAATACATTCACCTTCTTAAGACCATAGACAAGATTTAGCATTCTATTCTTAACATGTTAATTTCATTTCAACACAAGCATTAAATGAAGAATTGATAGTACATGTTGCTAACCATTCATAACAATCTGCATGACTTGTTTTAATTGTATCAACATTTAAACAAGTCTTGTCTTAACATCCAATTGTTGAATTATTTGTACAAGTATTTTTTAATTTTTGACAAATATCATGAGTGTATGTATAAGATTCACCTAAATAAATTTAATTACATTAGATTGAATTTGACATATTTATACATGTAGCACCTGTATTTAATTATTAATTCTATATACATCTACCTCTAGATGATTAATAACAATCATTCAAATTAATATATAAAGAACAATCTGCTTATAAATTAGTACATGCATTCATTGTTCTATTGACACTACAATAATTATTTGATAATTGTAGACATATTTCATAAGATAAAGTTGAAGAAGGATCAGTCATTAATGAACAATTCTTTTCTGTAGCAATAGCTATAGGTTTACATACAGTACCTGTCCAAATACAATAATGATCATTTTTAGAGTATACACAATTATCACTTGTTGAAGCACTACATGTATTAGCCATATTAATACAAGCAGTTCCTGTTCGATTTATAGTACAAGAATAATCATATTCTTAACAAGTTTCAAAAGATATGGTACCACCAATATAATTTGAACATAGACCAACATTACATGTTTTATTTGTACCTGATACTACCATAATACAAAAATCTCTTTTATCAGAACAATCACTATTTACAGAAGGAGTAGGAAGACTAGAACATTCAACATGAGTTTATAGACATAATGTTCCTTTTACTACACATTCTCCTTCTTTTGAATATTTACATTATGATAAATCTGATGTGTATTCAGAACAGAAATCCTTTTTTACAATACATCTATTTTAATCTTTATTCAAAGTACATCCTGAAATCATTTCACAATCCACTTTGGTTGTGTATAAATAATCTGTACATATTTTATTTATGCATCCTGTAGTTAAATTATTGGCTTTACATCTGAATAATACAGAACTACAATTAGTATCATTATATGTTGTTGTTAAACGAATATCACTACAATTTATTTATTATAATTCTTAACATTAATCTTATAACCAAATACATTAAACTTAATTAATTGTTGAATGACATTAATAATCATATTTATATTCAACACAATTACTTAATTTATTAACACATCCTTATTAATTAACTTTACTTAATACTGTACATTAACTATTCAATTATTAACATTTTTCATATGTATCATAATTATTAGTATCTGTTGAATCACTACAACCAGATTCTCTACATTATAAACCAGTCCATATACATTATCCTCCTGTTTAATTTAATTTACATTATTCTGAAATTGTGTATTATTAACATTTTTAAATATTAATACATCCATTTAAACTACTATTAATTGTACATTATGAATATTAATTATAACAATCTTAATGACTACTACCTACTAAATTAGAACATATCTTTTCTTTACATTATCCTCCTGTCCATATACAATCATTTTAAGTAGATACAAAACAATTATTTATATTTAATACATTACATGATGAAGGTTTTGTTATACATCCATTACTAGAATTATTCAAAACACAATTGTTCATATATTAATTGCAACTTTATTAATTGAAAATTGTTAAATAATTTGGAGATCCAATAATATTTGCAGTTTCACAAGATTATTAAACACATTTATTAATATTCCAAATACAAATTGGTGATGTACCAAATTAACAATTCTATTATAAAAGTCTATCATTACAATTAGATGTAAGATTCATACATCCACTTTAATTATTATTTAGTATACAATCAATTTTATATTATTAACAACCTTCTGTTGTTGTAATTGAACTATCAGCCATATTACATTATCTATCAACACACATAGAATTCTTCCATACACAATAACTACCTGATTATGTTTAATAACATGACTTTTCACTTGTATAAGCTTAACATGTTAACATTTTATTCATGCAACCAAATCCAGAATCATCTAGAACACATCCTATCATATACATTTCACATTCACTATGAGTCTTGTATGTTTTAGATGCAAAAACACATTATTTTGTAAAACAATTACTTTTCCATACACAATTATTCTTAAATGCATCTGTTGTACATTGATCTTATTAAGTAATATTTTCACATATTTTATCTACACAACCAATAGATGATGATACATTAAATGTACATTCATTAGAATATATTTCACATTCTGCTTAAGATGTGGCAGAAGTATTATTAGAACATATTTTTTATACACATTATGTACCATTCCAAAAGCATTTAGTACCATCAGTCATATCAATACATCCTGTTTCATTATTAGAACTGGAACAAGAAACTTATTCAATACATCCATTCATAGTGGTAATACAATTTTTAGCAATAATCTAACACTATTCATTTGTAGTAAAAGTAGTAGGTGCTTTAAAACAAACTTAATCATAACAATTATTATCTAACCAAATACATGATTCATTATTAGAATTTTTAATACATGCTGCTTCAATTTTTGCATCTGAACATCCTTTTATATTTGTACATCCTCCATTTTACTAGGTTGTACACTGATTCATAAACTATTAACATTATTGATGTGTAGTATATGTAATTGGTGCATTTGAACATAATAAAGATACACATTTATTATCTACCCAAATACATTACTATGTTTATAATTTATTCCACCTACATTAAGACATCATTTTATAATTTTCACAATTTTCTTCACTTTCTACACAACCTCCTTATCCTCCAACTGTACATTTTGATAAATATTATCTACATTCACTATCAGATTAAAAAGATAGAGGTAATTAATTACATTCTGTAAAATCTTGACATTTATCCACATTCCAATAACATTATAGATTCTTCTAATTTTTAAAACATGCTGTTTCAGTTTTGTAATCAACACAATTTCCTATATCTATACAATGAAATCCATCAGTTGAACAATATTATGAGACATATTAACATTCTGTATACTTTGAATAATAATAAGCAGTACAACCTGCAAATTACTAACATTCTTTATCTACCCATGCACATCCAACAATAGATTAACATATAGAATCTGCAAATGAACTACAATAAGTGATATTTTTAGTAACAACAACAGTTGGATTTGGATTAGTGATACATTTATCTGAATCCCATAGACAATTATTCTATGGATTTAAGCAATCTGATTGTGATAAGATTTAATCACATTTACATTTTGTATTAGATATTGTAGATGCTTCTAGTAAGATGATTAAGTAAAAGATTATTACTAGTTTAATTTTCATTTATTTATAATCAAACAAATCCCAATTCTTTTTCTGAATCTTAAACTCTATTCTCAAGTACAATAGTATTTTATTGCAATTTGATTCTATCTTAATTGATTTAATCCACTTATTGTTTTAAGAATTAATGTTATTCTAATTGTAATGCATTTTACTCATGAAACTCCTACATCAATCTTTAATACTCTTCATTTAAGTATTTATTTGAATCATCAAATGAATCTGTTGTAATTTATGATAATTCAATCAAATTATTACGTAATTGTTCCTTCTCTTTCTTTGCCATATCTAATTCATCCATTTATTATTGTAACAATTACTACTATTAATAAAACTATATACATCCAATCTTTGTAAGTGACTCTTCACTGGCATCCTCATTGCAAACTCTTCTTGATCATATTGTCCTTAATCTTAAAAATCACTGTTATAAGCCATATTATATTAATATTAAAACAAATTATCTCTTCATATTATTCTCCATTTCATCATTCTCATTTACTTTTAACTTCTTTTTCATTATATATACCCAATTTAAGAATGTACGAATCTACAAAACAACATTTAATTAATTTTATATGAAAACCACCAACGAACCATCCCTATTAAAATATCGAGTATCCAATCTATTAAAATCTCCTATAGATTATAGAACAAAAGAACAAGAAAATAGTTTTAGAGGCTGATGAAGACTAATTCACTTAATTTGCTAATGCCCTCTCCATTATACAAAAATTTCATGATGATATTAAGTCCCAATTCCATCCTTCTTCTTAACCTCAAAGAAGAACCAAGAATGTAGTCTCCATATAAGCCATCAATTCAGATTCTGAAAAATCAAATAATTAATCATTTGCTAATCCAAATCCAGACATTAAAGAAGATCAAGACTTTCGAAGGTATCTTAATGATTTATAATCATATAGACGAATCCCTCATTTCTTTTTGTCTCGATTTAAGAAATGGGCTAAGATGATGGAATAAGATGCAGCTTATAAGTACCTACAGAATGTATAAGAATCTAAGGTTATTTAAAACATATAATTTATTAAGACATCAAAATAATAACGATTTGAATTAGGTGATTTGCAACGATGCTTTTAAGTTTAAGTCAATGAACCCAAAGAATCCAAATTATGTAAGAATCTTCTTAAAGATTTATTTATTTCATTTCTATAAAATGAGGCCACTCTATAGATTATTCATTACAACAAAATCAGTTCAATCGAATAAAAAGTACAATATGGAATTCATTCTATCTTAGCACAAATATATTTCTGAAATTAAAAATATGATCTAAGAAATGTATGAACTTAAACCATTTGATTCATATTTATCATCTGAAAAGATCAAAGGAAAAAGAAATGCCTAAAACAACAATAATCAATCTCCAATTAAAGAAAAATAAGAAGATTTAAGAGAAGAATTTTAAATACCTGAAATGCATGAAAAATACTCTAATGAAAGTTTTAAAAAATATGGTAATGGACCATCCTTAGTAAAAATGAACAGTTTTTAGTGATTCTTATAAATTTATTCAATTTTATTCTTAATTTTACATATAATTCTATATATTATAATTATTATAAATTATACATAAGTTCAAAACTCATTCTATCTCATATATATATATTTATTTATTTATATATATATATATTTATAATGTTAAAAAAACAAAAATAATTTATCGAAAACCCAATCCATGACTTAAGTGTATGTCCAACTAATAAACTTACACTTTCCTCTCTTGATAAACCCCTTTTCCCAACTCCCTGGAGAAGTTATCAACATTATAACATACAAACACCAACTATCTTAATTAATCAAACTGACAGAGTCTAAGAAATGTCCTTTCAAATTGATAAACTTAAACCTCGTTATAGTAGATCATTAACAAAAAATAGAAAATAATATCTATAAGAGACTGCATAAAATGTATATGATCCAAAACCTATGGAAAAACAAATTTTAAATGGTAGTCGTCTTAAATTTAATGGGGACTTAAGTATGAACCTTTATTAGGAAGAACCTAAACAATAATTGCTCCTTCCTCTTATGTTAGATTTATATTTTTTACATTCTTTTTAGAACAGAATCTGTCAAGGTTGGTTCAATCACTATTAGTAAAGATGTGGCTCTACCTAAATATCTTGATCCTCCAAAAAGTAAAAGGGTTGGCTTTAAAAAATTACCTGAATACTCTATTCGTAGATTCAGTCATGTGGATGATTTGGTCGAACGAGTAAGATTGCAATAGGTTGATATCCTTAAAAAATATTAAGCCAAATCCTTTTCGAAGGATATATAGAATAAACTTAAAGATGAGCTATTTATTATACTTAAATAATTTGAATGATTAATATATATTAATAATATAATAATGGCAACAACCTAATTAGAATTACTCTAATAACTCTATGATTTAAGAAATGAATTCAATGAGTAATTAAAGAAGGTTTAAGCTGCTCCTGAAGTAATATAAATAATTAATTTCAAGAATCAAGCAGAAATAGTAACATTGTAAGATCAAAATAGAAGATATGCTTATAGAATAGGTCATTTAACAAAGGCTATTGATGAATTGATTTAATCAGAAGTAATATAATATATATATTTTTAGAATCAATTACGTACAGAAAATGCATAATTAAAAGCTAGAATAGCTGAGTTAGAAAAAAAATGAATAACATTAAATATATTTTTAAAATAGATCTTTGATTTTAAGGCAAATACTATAGGTACTAATGATCCTATTGTTTAATTTTTACTCTTACAAAAAAATGTTACATATTCTAAAATCACACTTACTTAAATTATGAAATCAAAAACGTAATTAAAATAAGATTAGTTGTTTTCTAAATTTTTTATTTTATCCAATGAAACTTCTGTATATTAAAATAACACCATTCTTTTTAGATTGATAATTGATGCTAATTGATGAAATTAGATAATTAAATAATTTATTAAGGCAACAAATGAATTTTAATAATTTCTATAATTAGTATATTGAAATTTCATTTTTAGTTTAAAGTGAATTAAGATCGTAAAAACAATAAATTTTTGAAATAATTTATGATTTGTACAAAGAAAAACCTTGTGTTCCATGACTAATTTTAAGTTCAATTACTATCTGATTGTATTAAATTATTGAATGTAAAAGTTAAATTCAATTTTTTTAGATTAAGAAAATGGTATAATACACCTTACCATTGCATGAGAATTCTTTTATTGATTGGAAGATATCTAAAAATTAAAAGAAAATTAATGGTTTCAGTATATTGATTAATGACAAATGGGAATACTTCGAGATGGAATAAACTCATTTAGAATTATTCAAATAGTTTCTAAATGCAAAAATCTCATATTCGAATATTCATAATTTATATAAAATGATCTCCTATTGTGGGAGAGGTACATATGGTTATGTAAGTATCGTTTTTATTCTTATAGGTCTTTAAATATTAGAATCGTATAAATGGTGAATTCGTAGCATGTAAATCCCTTAAGATTGGATCTGCTAACACATATTAAGTAAGTAGTTTGATGAATATAATAAGGTATTTATGAAGGAAATAAAAACATTATAGACATTAAAACATCCTAACATAGTGAAAATGAAAGAATTTTATGTGGAAACTTAACATTTTTATATAGTAATGGAATTTATGGAAGGGAAATCACTTAGAGAATTATTAAGAGAGAAAACATTCAATGACGAAGAAATCATTATAATTTTAAAAGTAATTATTAATTTTATTTTAGTAATTATTAAATTGTATAAATTATATTCACAAAGAAGGGTATGTATACAGAGATCTTAAATAAGAAAATGTTTTATTTGCTGAATATGGAAATTTGAACACATTGAAATTAATAGATTTTGGTTTGGCTACACAATTGAATGAACTTAGAAATTAAGTACATAGAATATGTGGAACTCCTGGATATTTAGCTCCAGAAGTTTTAAATTTTGAAAGACCTTTGGATTATAAGATTGATATGTTCAGTTTGGGAGTGATACTTTGGGAAATGTAAAGATTTGAATTTGATTATATATAGGATTCATAATTAAAGATTTTTTGAGGGGAGTGATTTAGATGCATAAGAGATATTGAATAGAGAATATAAATTTTCAATTGATTTTACAAAAAATATAGAGAATAAAGTATTGAAATATTTGGTAGAGAAAATGATACATCATAATCCTGAATACAGAATAACAGCAGCAGATGCTTTAAATTATTTGGATAAAAATTATATGAATAGTTGTGAAAACTTAAAAGAAAATGAAAATAATATTAGTACAGATTGAGAATAGATATAGATATATATATATTGATTATAAATTTTATTATATATTTTATATATGTGAATATTTTTTGGTCTCATTCTTTGATTTAATACTTTTTTCTCATTTCAAAGTATTTTCTATAATTTTAATCTCTTGATCTAGAGACAACGATATCTTTGGCCAATAAATAAGAGTAGAACATCTATGTGAGTGGCATACCTTGACGAGCCAATCTAAAAAAGTATGCAATAAAATATAAACTTATCATTATTGTAACCAGTATTAATTAATCCACTTCCTTCTGAATTCTTGCCTGCAGTTAATAAATAATATTCTCTTTTTTAAATTTAGTCTAAATGTGATAAAGTGAACAAATACTTGATTCCAATTTATATTTATATAATGTTCCAATCACACCAAGACCAAGCATAGTTGTAATGATTCTACCTTTTGGTTGTCTGATTCTATATGTCTTCCAATAAATATAACCGAATGGGTTTTTAATAAATCTGAAAAAGTTTTTAAAGAATCTCCTTTTATTACCACGATCAATGAATTTTTTTTGCATCTAAAATTGTTAAATAAGGAAATTACTCTAAATTTCTCCATTTCCCAATCATAAGCTTTTCCCATTGATCTCCAAATCATTTCTAATCTTTCTCTTTTATTTGGAGCATGATAATATAAATAATGTTATCCAAATGTACGCATTTTTACATCTGCATCACCAGTTGATTGATCTCTTATCCAGATATAATCCTATTACATCTTTTCTTGAGAATTAGCCATTTTAAATCTTATTTATTATTTAATTAATGCACTAAGAATTAAACTGTCCTCGTTGTGAGAATTCATTTGATATTTATGATCGTACACCATAAATGCTACCAAAATGTGGTCATTCAATGTGTATGCATTGTCTTCGTGAACAAACTAAAATAATATGTCCAGAAGATGGGTAAAGCAGTAGCTCTAATTTCTAAGAATTGTTTAACCATAAGATTTGAATCTATACCCAGTCAATTAAGCTATTTTGAAAATAATCAATAAGTCTAGTCTAAAAAACTCATAAATAGATTCTACAGAGTTGGGTGATACAGTGAGACTCTCAAAATGTGAGAATTTCTTTGAAATAATGGAATCTACATCTCTTTGTAAAGAACATAATAAGAAAATTGAATTAGTGTGTTTAGAAGATCATAATAAAATCTGTGTTAATTGTGCATTATTTGGTGGACATAAACATCACAATGTTAGAAACATCGATGTATTCATATCTATTTAAAAATAGGAAGTCATTTCAGAAATCTAACATTCTTTAGAAGAAACTGTAGATTTGATGTAGTAAATTCAATCTAAAATTAAATCACTCAAATAACCAATTATTAACAAAAAGATACGTGATTAAATAAGAATTTGTATAAAATAACAATAGACCTTAGCTGAAGAATAATTTAAAGTATACTTATATTACTATAAAATTTAAGGAAATGATAACTTAATTAATGATGAAATAAAGAAAAGTTGTTGAAGAGATTGAATAAAAATATAAATAAGTAGAAGATCAATTAATTAAACGTGAATAATAATATGTCAATCAAGTTATTGAAAAAGCAGACTTATGGATGTTAGCGTAATTCTAAATATTTATAGTTTATAGATCTTAAGAACGTATTAATTAATTTGCCTCTTTAACTGAAAAAGGAGAAATCTCTTTCTTTTTACTCTAAAAAGACACTTCTAATACTTAGGCTAAATAAATTATTGATGAATTAGAGGATTTTATGAAGAAATTTCAAATTAGATTATAAGAGGTTACTCAAGGATAAATTATTCCTTAAGTACAATTAAATAAAGAATTAATGGGGAATTTTGAATACAATTATCCATAAGTACAATAATCATTTTTTGATGATCCAAATATATTAAGAGATGTTTCTATGATTGATTAAAGTTTTTTAAAGGATATTGATGATAAACCTCCTCATAATGAATTTTTGACACATAATTTATTAAATCCTCAACCTTTATATCAATCTCAATCTGCTCTCTAATCATAACCTTCATCTAACAATATTTCATAAAATGCCATTAGTCCAAATTATGAAAAGAAATCATCATAAAATGAAACATTAATATCTCCAAAATTAAGAAGACAATCATCAATGTCTCCAAAAAGACCTGCAAAAAAGAAATTTAATACTAAGGTAGAATCCATTTTATTAAATTGTAATGGAGATACTTTAGATCTCTCATAATAAGGTAATATATTTATTATATATAATATATATAGATTTAGGAGATGATGGTATGATTCTATTAGAAGAATCTATTAGAAATAAAAAGGTAAAGATTATAAAATTAATGCGTAATAAAATTAGTGATACTGGAGCATGTAAATTATTAGAATTACATTGTTAAATATTACATTTATAATCTAATGTGATTACAGAAAGGTTTTTAGATTCAATATAGTAATTAATATAAAAATAGACCTAAATTCATATTAAGACTATCTATTTAGGATAAAATTTAATGAATTTATTTAGAGTAAAGAAAAAAATAGAGGATTTAAAGAAGTTAGGCATAACTATTTAAATATGATTAATGATCAGTGTGTTATGCTTTTTGTGTTATGAAATGTGCCTCTTAATTAAGATTATAATTCTTATTCATTTTCACACATTAATTCCATTTCTACTCCTTACATTTACTTTTCTAATTTAATTATTTTCTATAATAAATGAATTGATTATTCTTCCATATGCAATTTATCTTTTGTCAATTTACTTATTTCCTTATTTAATCTATATGATTCTGTAGAATAAGCAACATAATCTTCCTTCAATTATCTTTCTTTTATTTAAACTGCTTCATTGAATTAATCTTCTAATTTTTATATATTCCTCTCAGTTTATTCTTTCATTTAATCCATCTCATCCTTAATTTGTTTAGATTATTCTTTTAATTAAGCTAAAGTACGTTTACTATCTGAAATATAATTCTATTATATTGATTATTATATCCTTACTTATATTAATTGTTATGAATGAGTGAACACTTCTAAAAAATGAATTTATGCATTAGTATTTTAAAAATCATCAACATTAAAAGGATATTTAAAACCAAATGATGTTATTTAATCTGTTTTTTCCATAAAATTTTCAAAAAATGGACGAGTATCACTTTAACTTTTTGTATAACCTGTAAAATTTTTATTAGTCCTTCCCAATTTATGTTCGAGAGTCTGAAGTTTCATAGCACTTCGATTGGTGGGTAAGGTAGCTTAAAAGTATTTTATTCAAATATACTTTAAGGTGGTTATTTAAAGTATAACAGTTATCTGATTCTAATTTCAGAATGAGCATTGTTATTATCTGAATACATTAAATATTTATATTATTTAAAAAAAAATATAGGCAAACCGAGTATCGATCTCGGGACCTCTGCAGTGTAAATGCAGCGCGATAACCATCTACGCCATTTGCCTTAACTCAATAAATAATTAGATTCATTTCATAAATATATCATCTCTCCAATAACCAATTATTTCTTATTAACCATAATAAAAGATTCCAGTTCCATTAGCTAAACCATTGATAAATGTACCAATGAATCTGCATCCATTTTTAAATTTTAATTCTCCTTTTCCATTTCTCTTACCATTAGCTACACGACCAATAAAATGACACCAAGTTGAAAGATCATAATGTGTACATTCAAATGGAGCTTCTGGATTAAGAATTTCTACTTTTTCCCCATCATTAATTACTTTTTATTTATTTTAATTAGTTTATTGTTGAAATTCATGATTATACAATTTTAATTCTATATTTTCAATCTATATCTTATATTCTTCATTTAATTTTAAAACAAAACAATACAATTATTAACAATTAGGTCTTTATATATCTTATTCTATTAATGTCTAATCTAAAAATCTATTTAAATATTCAGGTAAATTTAATTCTTTGATTTTAATTTATAATTCTTTAAAATCAAATTATTTTTATTTAAAGAAAATTTTAGGTTCTTTTAATCCTAAACAATATAGACATACTAATCCTAATGCAAATACATCTGATTTAAAATATTCTATTTATTCATGTTAATAATAATTTGTTGGACTTTAATAATATTTCATATATAAAGGTCTAAATAAGAATGAATCAGCTATTTTATATACATATTTCTATTAAAGTGTATAAACTCTAAAGATTCCATTAGGATTTAATGCACAATAATGCATTTTTAAATCTTATAAAAGTGATAGTATTTTAGTTATATGATTAATTAATTTCCATACTTCCAAATGCTCAAAATTATCTATTTATGAAATTGGTTCTGGATAATCAAAATAAACATGTAAATCATCATTTTTAATTAACCAATGATGAATGTTTAAACTATTTGCATGTTAAGTCTTTTTCTTTAATTATTCTATAACTTTTTCATCTCTAAATGTAAGTATTCCATGTATAATTTTAAATTTATTATCAATTCGATTAGTTAAGACATCCATTTCTTTAAATCTGAAATTCTCATTATCAAAATTACTTGTTTTATTAAAATCCATTAAAAAATGTGAAGAATTATCGCATAATGCACCCATTCAAAAGAGGAGAATAATGTATAAGGAATATAAAAATAAATAAATATTATCAATATTATTATTAAAGAAAATGTATGATGTTTAAAGTTTTAATTAGTTAGTAATATAAATTAAAGAATGAAAAATTAAACCAATTAATCAGAGATTTGTCAATATTGTAATTTAAGTGACTGTGAATGTTCAGATCAAGAAGATTGGGATAGTTGTGATTCACCTAAACCAAAAACTCTCTATTCTTTTAAAGAAATCAATCTATAAAATAAATCATTATTAGCTGAAATCAGAATCATTTGCAAAAATTTGATTTATGTGATTGGTTTAGCACCTAATATAGCTAAAGAAGATGTAATCTCATTTCTATATTTAAGCAATTAAAAAAACTTGAATATTTTGGTTAATATGGATAAATCTAAAAATTAATTGTGATCCAAAGTAATACATTCAATCCACCATCTCATGCTGCATATATAACTTATCGAAATGAATAAGAAGCATCTTTAGCAATCTTAGTAAAAATTATTAATATTTATTTGTTTTGGCATGTGAAAAATTTCCCTTACACGATAGATAAGTTAAAGCATCCTTTGGAACCACCAAATATTGCACAAACTTCTTAAAGGGTTAACAATGCAAAATTAAGGATTGTGTATACTTGCATCAACACCCTAAAGATAAAGACTCTACATAAGTGTTAAAAAAAGTATGTACATTAAATAATAATTAGGAAGAAATGAATAACTCTAAATGGTTATTTTCTTATTCATAAAAATTAGCTTAAACTAATTTTAAAAAGTTTTATACAAAAATCAATTACAAAAATGCCTTACAAAAATCAATATTCCCAACCACATAAAATATATTGGATAATATGATAAAAGAAAGAATTGTTGAACCTATTTAATAATAATTGAATATATAATTAGAAGAAATTAAAGAAACTCAATAATTATAAGAAATATAATAACCTATATTATAAAAACCAATTGATATTGAAAAAAGAGTTGAAGCTGTCATCCTTTAAAGTAGTTCTATTTATTATTTATAGTGGATGGAGATGGCAATAGCAATTCAAGATTCAAATTTACAAATAGTAAAAATGTCCCATAAGATTATGAGGCAATATAATAAATAAAATAATATCTACAAAAATGATTAATGAAATAAAAATAAATCCATTTTTAATAATCTGTAAATCATCTGATTTAACTTATTAATCAATACAACATTTAATGTATACTTTTTGCTTGACTTCTAACATTTGTTGTTAAAATGTGATCAGGTGGTATCAGAACCAACACCTATCTCAAAGATTAAATCTTCATTTACGATTTGTAAACCCAAATAATACTTAAAATTATATAGGATAAATATAAACTAATTAATATATTATTTATACCATGTTCCTACACCATAATAATACACTTGAACAACACTTATTATTCCTTATGCTATAGCAAGATTATCCTCTTAAAATAATACCAAAAATTATCTCATGATTGTCTAAATATCAGTGAAATACTATAGTATAAAATTTTAAAAGGATTATTATTAAATAACTGCCTTATTTGTCTCATTTACATTATATTTTAAATTCTAAATTTCATAATCAAATTCTTAATTTATAAATTTAATTAATGCTGCAGTGTAACCTAATGCTCCATTACTTATTATACTTTTGTAATTATCTTTTCTATACAATAATATAATATAAAATTACTAATCATATTATAATTTAATTGTTGACAAATCACAAATAGGCATAGAATCAACTGTTGATGAAAGACATAAATCATAATTAAGTATTGTATCAAATCGGCTTTTTACATTATTTGCATTAGCATTCTCTAAAATTACCTAAGCTACTTCATTAATTAAAGGTGACAAATTATCTCTATATTCAATTAAAAGTTAACAAGCTTTAGTTTAATTTAAATATTCAAGATTAAGATTTGGTATAATTGGTTCTGATTTTATTAGACCAGCCAATAGAGTTAAAGAATCCATGTTATGTCTTACCTACACAAATTTCAATGTGACTGTTAAGGATGGTTAAAAATTATCATTTTTTGCCATATGTAATAAGAATCCTGCCATTAGATATACAGTAAGAAGTATTGTAATTATAAATGTAATGAAAGCATTAATTCTATTTAAATAATATGTTCTTTATATTCGAGAATATAAAGCACTTGTTGCTTTGATATTATTTTGACCTATCTCAACATTTGATTTCAAAATTACTTTTTTTGCTTTTTTTTCAGAAAAACCATACATTACATCACCAAAATTAAAAAGCTTCCAATTCCCATTTATTTAATTATTTAATTATTCCTTAATTAAGGATAATCGATTCATTTAATCTAATGCTTAATTTTCATTTAGTCGAGAAATTAAAAATAATATTGACTTTACAATATGATCTATAAATAACCAATATTTTAATTATATTCCTATTATTAAAAATATGCTAAACATTTCACCAAACATAACTGATAAAAAATAAGACTTAACTTAAGTTTACTTATCAATTGTATTTTCAATTATAACTTCAATTAATTGATTATGAAAGTCCAACATATCTAATAAATTTAGTCTAACCACACCTTAAGGCATTAATTATGGAAAATCAATACTCCCATTATTAATAAATTTTCTGTAAGAAATCTCTGTATTTTAGTACAATATTGAATAAAATTCTTCCAAAGGATATTCTATGGTAACTATGGAGTTTTCTTAATAAAATTTTGTTTGCATTATCGTCTATAGATTTTACTCCATTGATAATCTAGGTACAATGATTGCTAAATTTACTTATGTAGTTCTAGCATAATCATACATTCCTTGTAATGTATCTAAATTTCTTTAGAACATAAAAGGACTTAATGTTATTAATTTATTTTTTATCAATATTAAATACCATTCCTGCAATATTTCAGAGGTATAAAAATAATTGATATTTTAAGGCTGTCTTAGTGTAGCAAGTTAATTAGTTTGAGATATTAGATTTTCAGAAATAAATTAGACATTAATAATATTACTAATAAGAATACCTGAACATATTATAAACAATAAAACTGCTATTTTTTTTAAGGGAGTAATAAGTTAAGTATTATGATAAAGCTATTATACAATTAATAAAGATTCTTTTGAAGTAGAATTTGTTGATGTTCTTGAAGGATTAGAAGCAAAGTCATTTTCTTTGTTTTTTATTTATTTTGTTTGAAATTTCAAAAGAATATTTGAGCTTTTTTTTTAGCTTTAACTCACAGATTAAACCTTTTTTTCGCCTTCATCCTATTCATCTTCTATTTAATCTTACTTTATTTCTTTTATTACCTATATGGATATATATAATATATATATACCTGCATATCTAATTCAATTTGTTCTACTTCTTCATTTATATCAATTTCTAAAATTTTAGGTCTAGCAAATAATGGTTATCTACTTGAATCAAATAGATTTGATCTATCTGATTATTTTAATTAAAATTTAAAACTATTATCAGCAGCAGCAGAACTCTCATTAAGTTTTAAATTGTTATTCATTTACTTTATTTCTTAAATAGCATGATATTAAGAATCATCAGGATTTTCACTTCTTATATCTTAAAAAAATGAATTAGGACTTTTTGTATTGCTAATAGAAAATTCTTATGATGGTATTAGAGTTTAATAAAGTGATTGTTAAGTTCTAGAAGTTTATTAATTATTAATTGTTTAATTTGCAATAGTTTTGAAATCTTTAATTGTTAACATAAAATAACCATAATTTCCTCTTTTGAAATTCAGTGTCTTAAATTAAAGACTATAAAAGACTCCTGTCTATGGTATTTTAGATAAGGAATCAGTTATTTCAACTAGTTTTGATATTTGTTGTTCCACTTCAGGATGTAATATTAGAATTGGAATACCATTGATAGATATATTGGATTTCAATTCTGATGGCATTTCAGAATCATCATATTACATATCAAATTATGTATTTATAGAGTTGTAAGAATATTTTGAATATGTTTAGGATTTGTAGGATCTAAAATTTTATTAAGATCCATAACTTCTTTTTTTGAATTAAGAGAATATTAATTAAGAATTTTATAAACATTCTATATGATTATTGGGTATAATCCAAAATGATTTGAGATTATTCATCAAATAATTAGAAGATGATACTATTTATTGTCTTAACTCTTAAACTTAATTAGCTATTCCAGGAATATAGAATTAAATTAATGGATTTTTGTTTAAGAATTCTTTAACAGTTATTTTTAATACATTCTAATCTTTAGTTGTTTGATGTGATAAATTCATTTTGACATTATTTTACAATACTTCTTCATAAAAATATTTTGTAAATCCTAATATTTTACCATCAATACCAAATAAAATGATTTCATTATTTGATTATTATTTTGTAATAATCATATTTAAAATAAAATCATCCTTATCATCAAAAAAGTTGAATAAATTCAAACTACATTATTCTATATATCCTGTAATATTTTAACAAAATGTTGCTTCACCATTTATCATAAGTTTTGAATATCCTCTTTATAAATAATTATCCATTAATTTTTCATGAATTGATGAAATGAAATTTGGCATTAATTAATTGCAATGTTTAATACCTTTAAGACTATCTTCATTTTCATTTAAGAATAGAGCCAATTATCTTACATTTAAGTTTATTAGTTCTCCTCTCTTTCTTACAAGACTAGATTTTAGAATTATTAATCTATCTATTAAATTATATATAATATTTAAATACTTTGAATCAATTACATATTGTCTAATGTTTCATCTTGTTTATATCTTTCATTTTTTATAAGTTCTTCAATTGATTTTTCTATTTAATAAGCTTAAAATGCATTAGAATATATTCCTGAATAATAAATTTAAATAATTCTTAAAGTCAATATATCTGGTTATTATTGACTTTTTAATTTATTATTAATCATATCAAATCTCTGTTCTATTTCTTTTTTACATAATAACATTTTTTGAGTTGTTTTGAGTGACTCAAGTAAATAATGATCAATATCTTAATATCCATTAATTAATTTACTCCAAAAGTTAATTTTACTTTGAATAGTTTCTATTAATATTGGAAATAATATATATGATGAATGACTAGTCATATAAGCAGATTAAACATTCAAAGATGATTAATGTTCATTAGTACTACGAATTGTATTTTTATGAATGGCTTCTCTTTAATATTATTTGGCTCTTTAATATAATTCAAGAGAAAGATTATTGAAAGATTATTTAAAGTAAATGTTATCAGCTTATTATAATATCAATTTTATTAATGCTTTAAGTGGAGCATGATTAGAAATATAATTACAATAAACTAGAACATTAATAAGCTATTTATTTTATGAATTAGTCATTTTTCTTAAAAGACATTCAGGTATAGAATGTGAGGACTTACATTTTAAACAATTATGATTTATTTATAAAATTGAGAGAATTAATTTTGATCTTTTATCACCTTATTAATTATAGTATTCTATATTCTAAATAAGAAAATAAATATACTTAAATAGTTGTAAAATTATTTTAAATTTTACATGTTAAGTAATATTAACTAAAATATTATTAGATTTAAAACAACAAACTAATCATAAGTGTAAAAATAAGAAATAATTCATATATACTCAATTATAAGTTAATAGATGTATTTATAATAGCAAAGATCATTTCTAATATTATATATCCTTAATAATTATTCTTCCTTATATTAACTAATATAAAAATCATATTGTTTATTAAAGTAAATGCAAACCTTAACTCTTAAAGTTAATCAATAACTTTGAAAATAATAATGAGTAATTATAACACTTAATATATTGCATTTATTATTATAGATTAATCTAAAGTGTATATGGAATTATCCTCCATTAGTTTTTCACATCTTCCAAAATATAACAATATTCCTCCTATTGATAAAGATGTTAGAAAATTTATTATACTTAAGATTATCAATATAATATAACCATAATTAGAACATATTGTGCTACTATTGCAAATATTAACATTATAAATGAATATCAGTGACATGTAGATATTGGGCATAGCTAAGACTTAATGATAATAAAAAAGGAATTGTTGAAGGATTATTGAGATCATACTTGATGGGTTTTATTTAAATAGGAGAATGGTAAGCAATCCAACAGTTAAGCAATGCAAAATGAACATAAGCATAATTAAAAGAATTAGTTAAGTGTTTGTTATAGATGTAACCACAAAACAATAATTTATGAGTGAAATCAAAGGACTTTGAGATAACGGAAATAATTTACCTAAAGTTTGAAATTGATTTAAAATGGGAATCATTTGATATAGCTATTTCTTATGATTTCTTAATAGAGTATATTGCAAAAAATACCTAGAGTTTTGATATTCACTAATAATACATGAAGGATGTTAAAATTATATCTTGGATGTGTTAGAAGATGAAATTATTTAAGCAATTTTTCCATAAAATTATAATCTTTATAAAATATTTATAATTCATTAAAATTGAAATCTTACTTAAATGAATATGTAAAATATATTATAAACTAAAAGGAAATGATAAGTATAATTGAAGTCATAATTTAATGAAAAATTTCTCTGACTTTTTATCTGAAAATTTACAATAAGATAACATATTGAAACCAAAACCTGATTATTCAAAGTATCATTTTTGGGGATTCTACTTTTCTGCAAGTAGATGTACTCCTTGTAGATAAATTACAGGAATGTTAAAAAATTTCTATGAAGAAATAAAAAAGATATAGAATTTTGAAATTATTTTAGTTAATCATGATGAACATGAAGGAGATTTTATTAAATATTATTAGAAAATGCCATGGCTAGCAATTTCATGGTCTGAAAATATTGCCATAAATTAATTAACTAGAATAGGCAAACCCTAAACAAATACCACATTTATGCATTTTAGATTAAGATGGGAATTATATTACATGTGAAGCTAGAAATGATATTGCTATTTATGGAATGAAGGCTTGGAATCATTGGGAAGACATTGTTGAAGAAAGAAAAAAATATAGATAAAAATGATTAATTTTGATAATTGAAATTGCAGTTTTATATGAAATGTAAAATTAATTTCTATTGTATAAATTTTATAACATACTAAAATAAATATAACAAATTATGATGCGTATTAAATTTAATATTTAAGTTATCTTATATTAAAATGTCGCAATCTCCCCATAAATGGCATCAAGAAACTATTGATTCTCAAAAATCAAAAATGGAAAAAACTGTTCCCATTTGCCCTCTTCCATAAGATGTTGCAACTCTCACTTTACCTAATGGGAAAACTGTTCAATTACCAGTTTATAAAGGGACTAAAGGTCCTCCAATGATTGATATCACATAATTATACTCGAAAACAGGATATTTTACTTTAGATCCTGGATTCTCATCAACTGGAGCGTATAAAATTAATAATAATATTAATTTAGATGTATGTCAACCATGACCTATATTGATGGTGATAAAGGAGAATTATTATACAGAGGTTATCCAATAGAAACTTTAGCAAAATATTCATCTTATATAGAAGTGTGTTATTTATTCATTTATGGTCATCTTCCATCTTAAAAGGAATTATAACTATTTGAAGAAACTATGGTGAGTGAAATGATGATAAATGAAAAACTAATTGAATTTTATAAAGGTTTTGCATCTGATAGTCATCCTATGGCAATTATGGTTGGTGTGGTAGGTGCATTAAGTGCATTTATGCACAAAGATTTTGATGTCAATGATCCAAGAGATAGAGAGTATATAGCCATTAAATTAGTAGCCAAGATGCCAACTCTAGCAGCATATGCATATAGAACAGCTTTGGGTTTACCTATAATTTATCCAAACAAAAAGTATTCTTTCATTGAAAATTTCTTATATATGGTAATTACTTACAATAAATTATAAGATGTTCTCAACTCCTATGAATGAGTTTAATGTTGATAAAGTTATTGTTAAAGCATTAGATACTATATTTATGTTGCATGCAGATCATGAATAAAATGCATCCACTTCCACTGTTAGAATAGCTGGGTCTTCATTGGCAAATCCATTTGCATGTATTGCTGCTGGAATAACAGCTTTATGGGGACCATATCATGGAGGTGCTAATGAAGCAGTATTGAATATGCTGAAGGAAATAGGAAATAAGGAAAATATACCTAAATATCTTCAGAAAGCTAAATCTAAAGATAATTCATTTAGATTGATGGGATTTGGACACAGAGTTTATAAGAATTATGATCCTAGAGCAAAAGTAATGTAGGAAATGTGTTACAATGTTTTAGAAAAGACTAAAAGAGCAAATGATATTTTAGAGGTATTAATTAATCTATTAATAATTTATAGTTGGCAATTTAATTAGAATAAACAGCTTTGAAAGATGATTATTTCATTTAAAGAAAATTGTATCCAAATGTTGATTTTTATACAGGAATTGTTTATGAAGCCTTGAGTATTCCAACATCAATGTTTACAGTTATGTTTGCAGTTTAAAGAAGTATTGGTTGGATTTGCTAATGGATGGAGATGATGTCAGAGAAAGTGTAAAGAATAAGTAGACCAAGATAATTATATGTTGGAGAAGATTAAAGAGAATATATTCCTATTAAGGATAGAAAAGAAGAAGAAAAGAGTAGAGTGTGTAAATTACCTATGCATAGTAGCCTATTTGGACTTGTAAAAGTATGATCAGATTTAAATGAGAATCAATTTATAATATAAATTTATTATTCTCTAAAAATCAAAGAGAAACTATTCATCTATAATAGTTATCAATAGATTTAATTAATAATTAAGACTTAATAAATATAATTAACATATAAAAATGATTCAATTTACAGGTTTTATCTATTATAATTAAATAGAAGCATACTCTAAAATGAAGTCCAATTAATGAAAATACAAAGCATTTCAAGTCTTAAATCAAATAAAAGAAAACTCTTAAGCCATCTGGATCTTAACTGCTTTATACATCATGTATTGATCCAAGTTTTGATGTAGTAAATGAAATGTGAGCATTTCCTAATTTAATTTCTAATTCTTATCTTCCAATTTTATCTGGGGCTGGCCATTTTGAATCGTTCTCTCTTCAATTATATTGAATTTATACTTTATAATTTCTGATTCTTCAATTATTCTCTTGAACTCAGAAATCACTGATTCTGAAACAAAACATTCCTTTCTAATTAATACATCTTATTTATAATTAGAATTATTTGCATATCTCAATCTTCCATCACTCCTAAATTCAAATTCAAGAAATTCATGTCCATAAACACCTTTATGTCCAACACTAATTTATACATCTTATAAAATTACTAATATCTAAGATAAAACTCATCATTTTAATTTGTTTGCATTTCTAATAATTTAATTAAATTGTGATTATTAAATAAAATCAAAATATTATTAAATATAATATCATATTAGATTCTCATCAAATAACCCATTTAAACTTTTTGAAATGATATATTTTTTCATTTAAAATTTTTGAATCATATCATTTAGAATTACTTTAAGTTTTATACAAATTTAATATATTAACTTTAATAAGATTCAAATATCATTTTAGAATTAATATATAAATATGAAATAAGAAATAATTAATATAAATTTGGATAAATTCAAATATCTTTTACTCTTAGTTATTTTTTCACTTTTCATTTTTTTAAGAAAGTTTAGTTATAATAATTTTTTTTAAAGATTCAATACCTATTGTTATACAAAATTAGAAATTGGACAATATAAATATAAAATGTAGCCATATAATATTTTATGGCAATAAGATGGAGATGAAAAAATAAAATAAATTCCTATGAATATTTTGAACATTAATTATTTCAGATGTATTTTTTTATAGATATCATTCTTAACCTATGTCAGCACCAAAAGAATCATTTTCTTCATCTTAATCTACTTTCTATTAGACTTTTTCTTTTTTTGCATTTGATTTATTGGTTTTTGCTTGATTCTTGCCGTTGATTTGCTTGCCTGTTTATGTGCAATAGAGTTCATTTTCTTATGAGTAACGACTTCTGTCTTTTAAGGCTTAATCATGATATGACTATGGATTTAAAAATAGTTTAAGTACCTACTAAATTTCTTTTGGTAAATCTTTCCATTCACTAGCAATTAATTTGGTGATTTCTTAAAATTATAGATCTAGTATAGCATTAAAAAAGACTTGGATATTGTTATTAAAATTTCTCTCTTTTGTCTTAAAAATAAAAGATGAATGCTGATTTAGGCATCTTGGGAGCTAATGGATCTTTTTGTTTTTTTTGTTTTTTTTGTTTTGTGACTTATTGTTTTGGTTATTCCTCTGGTTCTGGTGTTGGTGCTAAATAGGATTCAACTAAAGCTTTAAATCGTATTAGAAAATTTTCAAACTTGCTTTGTTCTTTTTTCTATTTATGATATTATCATAATTACATCTTACATCTCTGAATCAAGATTTTAGATTAATAATATATATAAATATTTAACATATTTCCTATCAGACCTAAACTATATTATAAAAAATAAGTAATATCATTTGTTACATTCATAGAAAATAGGAATCAGACCATAAATCATTAAGGAGGATGCGACAATTTCTATCAGTAAACCACTTTTCCTTCTCTAAACTAGATTTCATTATTTCTGTATCCATCATTTTCTTTAATCTCCAATCTCTCTTTCTTGTTTTATTTATAATAGTTTAATTTTTTGGACTCTAATAAAATGTCTTAAGATGATATTCTTTTGGAATAGGTTTAAAAATGATTAATCCATTTTTCTTCTTTAAAACTTTTTTATCAGGAATAAGCGGCGGTTATTGATAATTATCAATTTGAGGCATATTAAATTAAAAAGTTTTAGTTATCTATGTGTTTTCAAATAGATCACATCCAACACCTTTATCTTCAAATTTTTTATCAGCTTAAGAGTGAAATCTAACTTGAGGAGATGTAGTTGAGATTTTTCTATTTCTTATTTTAGCAGGTGTAGTACCACCTAATAGAAATGATTCATGATTAGAAGTATCCATTCTTCTTGGAGTTCTCTTCTATAAAGGACATTACATGATAATTAAATCCATAGTATTGACCTATTTATAACAAATTTAATATATATATTTATGATCAATATTATAATCAAAGAACTGTCTTTCCAATTTCGAATACTTTTTTTAAACCACATAGATTATCATTTTTAATGAATTGTCTTTCTATTTTATGTTTTTATAAATAGGAATCACAATTCTTTAATTATTTTGCCAATGACATTCTTCTACTGACAAAATATCTGTAGATCATATATATAAATAAGTTCTTACTTTTATTATCTATTTAATTGAACTTTACTAGTATTTTATGTATTCAAATTAGATTTAAATTAAATCATTCTAGAGGATGATTCAGTGCTAATACTAATTGATCTTGCTAAGATGAGATGTAAATTAGAATATTTAGATGGATTATAAATAGGTTTTTTTGTATTTTATTATCTCAATAGTAAACTTAACTTAATTAAATTCTCATTTAAGTCTTGATCCATATTTATTTTGTATAAAAATATTTATTTTGTGTTAATGAATTATAAAATCATTTTAAATTCTCTTTCTATCCTTACATTTTCTACATCAAAAGATGTAAATTACTAATACTTAATTATGAACGATTTGTTGATTTTGGTTAAAGTATACCTTCACCAACTAAATTTTTAAGATCCATACTTTTATTTTTAATTAATGATGAATTTTTCTTTTTTGTATTTTAAATAACTAATTTTTGTTGTTTTATGAGCATATTTTAACTGTTATCACGAGAATGTCTAGGAGAATTGCCAATAGATATAAATTAAGGAGATTTATCTCCGGCTAATAATTTAGCAAGTGGAGATCTTGCTGAATGTGTTTGTTTTTGAATTTCTATATCCTTTTTATCTTTAATTATAGATGTCTCACTTAAACTTTAACATTATTCAATTGCTGATTCTTCATCTATTTATGTTAATTGTCTTGGTTCTGCTATACTTTTTTCATCAAGTACAATTTATTTATTATAAGCACTCCAAATGTCATCGATTATTACATTGACAATCATTTACAAATTAGCTTTAAAAATATTTGAATTCAATTTGTAATGTTCTGCTAATTTAAAATCTTTTAAGGGAATCTCTTTTTATATTGCTAATTTCAACAATTCCTATAATGTTAAGTTTAACTCACTTATATCGTGTATGTATGTTCTTATTGGAAAATCTCTTTGAATAAAACATATATTTTTTCTACGAAATTAGATGCTAATCTGTTGAAGATATTATCGATCTCTAAAAATTTCTAACTTTCCCTCTGTATCCTCAAGAAATCCAATTCTTACATAAATTTAAGATCGTTAAAAAAATATATATATATTAATAACAACAATTATAAATATTTAAATTAATTCAATTGAATAAAGAATTAAATTACAAATAAGTAAATTATAATAATTTAGCATAAATAATATATATATATATATATTCTTCATCAGATTATAGGTAAATTTTAAGCTGGCAAACTCTAATTACGATTATTTCGTTTCTGATTTGGAGAATGTTCTAATAATATTGGTAATTAACTGATCCTTCTCTATTACAAATAAGGATTTTCCTCTTGAGATAGTCTTCTATATCGTTATTTTAATTATTGATAAATAGGCATTTCCTTCTAATATTCTAATAAAATCTTAGCTATCACATTCCTATCAGAATAATTATGTGCCTTTTTATGTTTTGCAGAATAATTTATTGAATACTATTATTCTTTAATTAATATATAAATACTTAAAAGCATTTCCTATTCTGCCAAATATTATGAAATTCTAGTAGGATTAGGAGAAGATTATTATGAACCAGCTCCTAAAGTTGCTTATCTATGTCTATTTATAGTTTCTTGAGTGTCACTATTTTAATGAGTCTCAGTTTTATATTTCTAATTACTATAATTGGCTTTGGGTAACATATTTCCTATTGAAATTTAATTTTTTGGGAATATAATAGTATTTAGTAATTTGCTTTGATCTTCAATTGCTTAAGTTTTAAATCTATTAAAATAAGGGAGTTCTGTTAAAGCATAAGATGTTGGTCTTAAATTAGTTTGGACTTAAAGCATCATTCTTATAACATTTTATAAATCTTATGAATATTAAGATGGAAGTCTTGGATATAGACCTATATAATATATTATACTTAAAATTACCTTTAATAACTTTCTTATAAAGTCCTTCCATATCTTCTGCTCTAAATGGAGGTTTGAGAGCAGCCATTTCATAAGTTACACATCCCAACGACCAGATATCAGATTTTTAATCATAAGGTTGATCCTTCCATACTTCAGGACTTGCATAATAAGGTGTTCCTGTTTATGTATAAAGCAATCCTTTTTTTGCAACTTTTGAAACATTCATATCTCCTAGTTTTACATCACCATTTGATTACAAAAAAACATTTGCACTTTTTAAGTCTCTATGGAATATTTTTAAATCATGTAATGCTTTTAAACCACTAGCAATTTGAAATGTAATTTTCATAATATCATTTTCAGCCATAAAAGTATTTGTTTTGATACATTTCTATATTTATTAGAACAAGTCTCCATTATCTGCAAGTTCCATAACAATACTGTTATATTATTATCAAATATAATTACCATAATGAATTGCTATTGACATCAATGAAGGCTTCTTTATAGCTAATAATAAATGGGTTTTTTATAGATGCCAATATTCTAACTTCATTTAAAGCATTTTATTTCTCTTTATCACTCAAATTTGTAAGATTCACCTTTTTCAAAGCATATTCTACATTGTCTTCAATTCTCTTTACTTTATATACTGTTGAATATGCTCCTTCACCTATTATAGATATATTAGATATGTAAACCTAATTTTGACATAATCTTGAAATCTTTAAGCGACATTTTATAATTATATAATATATATATTATATTAATCATTATGCTTTCTTTCCACTTTTTCCTTTTTATGCACTTCCTTTTTTAGTTGAGTTCTTAACTGCACTCTTCTTAACAGATTTCTAAGTGCTTTTTTATGTACTCTTTTAAGTAGATTTTTTTGCAGAATCCTTTTTTGCAGATGCAACTGGAGTCTTTGGTGCAGCTACTGTAACATCAACTTTTGCAGGTGAAGCAGCTTAAACTTATTTTTTAATATTTTTAGTAGCTGATCCACTTTCTAATAAATTAGTTATCAATCAATTACTTTTTCCTGATTTGCTTTAACTTCTGCTTTTTGCTCCTTTTGCCATTTTATTATTTATTATCAACTTTCAAATTGAATTCTGCTAAATATCAAATTTACAATTATAAATTAATTTAATTGGCTATTTCTTCAAAATAATGAATATTAAAATCAATTACATATTTTAATCCATTCATTGATATTTACAATTTTGGATAATTTCTATTTCTAATATTCCATTCAAGATTTTCAATATTTATAAATCTTTATTCATTTTTAACTAGAAAACTAACAAATATATTTCTCTTTATTTTGAATTCTTATTTATAAATATATACTAAAAATTACATTTGAAATTTTCTATTTATTTTGCTTAATCAACTTATTTGAAAGATCTCAATAAACCTAAGAATTATTAGTTGATTTTAATTAAATTTATTCCTTATTATGGGTTCATAATGTTGCAATGGATAAACTAGATCTCTTAATAATGAGATAGTCAATGACAGTATCAAAAATAGTTCTTTATTTAAATAATCAATTCACAGTCTTCCATTCACAAATCAAATGTAATGCAATAATGATGAAATATTGGAGTTGAAAAAAGAAAATTGCATGGGACTTCCCCTTATAAGTGAAAATGCAAGTTAAATTGATAAAGAAAAATAACAATTTGCTCTTTCATAATTGACTGTTACTCAAGATCCTAAATCAAACAATAATTTAGGGAATTCTTCAGATCAATAAATTCAAGAAGGTTATTGTTCAAATCAATCTCAATCTACTCCTATTAAGAGAAAGACTGTAACTTCTATTGGCACTTTCAAATTGGGAGCAGATGTTTTTGTCAATTTAAAATAAGGTAGTATTGGAAAATTTTATACAACTGGATCAACCTTAGGAGCAGGTGCTTATGGAAAAGTATGGAAAGTAACACATAAAACAACAGGTATATACTTTAACTCATTATTATAATAGGATTAATAAGAGCTATGAAATAGATTAAGAAGTCTTCATTAATTCATGAAGAATAATAAAGATTATTTGCTGAAATGAATATTCTTAAAAATTTAGATCATCCACATATTGTTAAACTCTATGAATTATATTAAGATTCTTAGAATTACTATTTAATTACAGAGTATTTGAGTGGAGGTGAACTATTTGAGAGAATAAAAGCTATGACTATATTCAATGAAAAGAAAGCAGCTGAGTATATGAGATAAATTCT